CCTTCATTTAGAAAATCTCTCTCTCTCTCTCTCTCTCTCTCACTTTTACCTGGATCTATCGTTGTAACGATAATGATTAGTATAATCATGATGCAACAAAATACTATTAGTGAATTGCAAATGATTCAAAAACGTGTTTACTTATAAAATATATTATTTTGATTCGTTGTTGTTTATAATGATAATGATTATAATAATAGTTGAAAATGATTAGTTGTTATTAGTTAAGATGAAATATCAGCTTGAGTTAATGTTGTTAACACAACATGATAATCAACATGATCATTTTTAAAGTTTATCTAATAAGATATAAATTATAGCCTTTTCATTTTTCACTCCCAATGATAATTTCGGATTCTGTACTGATAATGATGATGAGGATAATGATCAGGATGATACTGATGATGATAATCACGTCGTTTATGTCAAAACAAACCTTGATGGTAATATAATGTTATTGTAAATTACCTTTAATTATTATCATTAGATGTGTATTAGCTTGATAAAATCATTAGAATCCAATTGAATTTGTTGACTGTAATCATGATTATAATCAAGATGGATTAGTTAATTTGATCCCGATTCGAGATTAGATTTAAAAACTTTTAGGTCTGAGAAACAAACCTCGTTTTCGGTATCGAGAAGGACAGTTTTTTATTTCGAAATTTTCAATATTTAAAACAAAAGTATCGTTAAGATGACCAGAGTTCACTTGTTTCTTGACCACTAAACTTCATAAAGCTTAAAAAGATAGACGTTCAAGTCCATAAATCCGTCTAATGAAATCCCATGTGGATTCCAAGAAACTAAAGGCCAAGTCTTTATGTAGCGATCGCTATTACCATTAGAGAGAGGCTTCTTTGTGTACCCTTTTTCTAGCTTTGCTCTCTCTCTCTCTTTTTCTCTCTCGATGTTACTCTTTTACGCTGGACCGCTATTGTCATCGGAGAGGTCATAAAGAGACCTTTTCTGTGGTCAGTTTTTTGGCGACTTTAGGATTTTATGAACAGTTTTAAATGCTCTCAATGTACTAACCAGTTTCTCTGAATGGGTTAACTGATGAAATTTTCCTGGTCTTTTACTAATCTACGTGATCATCATTAACCTCGAATGGAGTTGATTAGTAATTAAGTAAATTATCGTATTATTAAATGACAGTGTTAAAGAGATCCAATGAAAGTTGAACAATTGAAAGATTGATTAACCTAAATTTTTTTCTTCACTTTTCCCCTGATTCTGATTCTGAATTGATTTATATCTACTCCATGTTAACGATAATATAAAAGTTGATTGATGATCCTTTGATATGACAGATAAGCTTTGACTCTAATGGCTCGATCTATTATATTATTTTGCTTTACCTCTGGTTACATAGACAGTGAGAGAGAGAGAGCATGATGATGATGATGATGAAAGATCGAAGGTATAAAGAGAAAGGGAGAGGGAGAGAGAGAGAGAGAGAGGAAAAGTGATCCATCAAAAGACATAAACAACAACATTAGCATGAGAAAACATCAAACTGATAAAAGTGATAATAAAAGGTTGAGTTAACAAGAGAATCAAATTCAAACTTTATTCAAATTAACGAAATAATAATTTATTTTAATAATCATGATGATTAATCAAATTGTCAATTCGAACAATTAATAAAATCATGTCTTTTTTTTACAATCGAACAAAAAAATACTCAAAACTTTTGTCAACGAATTTTGAAAAAAAAGCTTCCATTCGAAACTTTTATAAATTATCATAAAACTTTTCTTCTAATCGATAATAATAATAATAATCTCTACCTCTCGATTAATATTCACTAAATCCAATCTTAATCTCTAAACCATCACTAATCTCAAGGTTATAAAATATATATTATATTTCCATTGATTCCCTTATTATAACAACAACAGAAAATTAACTTCTAATTGAATGATATCGTGATTAAGGTGAAGCAAAAGAAGAAAAAAGTTCTAAGATAATAAATGATAATCCAATGGAACTGGAGGTTTACCTGAACTCTAAAGGTAAAAATGATAAAGTAAAAAGGTGCGTGATGTTGATAAGACAATCTGACAAGTGAAATGATGATAATGATAAACGAAGCAAATCAGTTTGTGTCTAAATCTATTAACAGTTTCTATCAACAATTAAGGAAACAATTTAAACTAATTTAACTTTCGACTGATGGTCATCGTACTTATATAAATCTCTTGACAAGGTAAAGTGATAAATGAATATCATCATCATCATCATCATCAGGATAATACATTAATTGAATATTAAACTTGATAACAGATTCAATTCAATTGTAATTCGTTTGATTAAAGATCAGATTGTTGTTTAAATTATATGATGGATAATTATCACAATGGGAATAATTGAAAAACGAAACAGAATATGTAACAATTTAGTTAATTGTTAATATCTACTATTGATTGTTGTTATTATTAAATGACCATTGAAAGTATTGTAATCATTGGGAAAGAAGTAAATTTTATCATAATAAATATTAGATTGTAATTAAATATCGTTATTCAATTTATACCATTTATAATCATCAATCATTCAGATTAGATGGATCACTTTTCTTGGATTATTATTTATTTAATCATCTTGATAATTATCTTAATCATTATTATTACTATCAACTTGTTTTAATCATCATTCCAGAGCTTTAATCATAATCAACTTAATATTCTTGATTGTTGTTAAATTGTGAATGTTAAATCATCAAATGTTGAGAGATTGAGAAAATCAAAATTCAGGTCAATTCTCATCAATAGATTACAATTAACTGTTTATATTAATATTTAATATTATTACAATTAACCTTAATCATTAATTAAAAATAGATTGTTACATGTTTAACTTTCACAAAGTTTCCTGATTATCGTTGAAGGAAACTAAAAAGTTAATTGTTACCAATCAATTATCCTATTAAATTACACACACACATCATTCAATCAAATTATTATTAGGATGATCAAAGGATATTACAATGTGTCAATAATCAATAGTTAATTGTTATGGTAATTACAGAAAATTAAATATTGTCAACAATCATGTCAAATAATTAAATACACTTAAAAGGTAATCAGTTTGATTATCATTAATTAAATACAATCTTGATGATTAGCTTAAGGTGAAAGAATGAGATTAATAAATTATGATATATTTATGTGCCCACAATTAACTAATTTATATATAATATAAAAACTTTAATCCAGTTTAATTATCAAAAAAAAAAGAAGAAAATTATTCACGTGATAATTAAATGTTAATTGTAAATAAATACAAGTGATATCGCCTGAGGCAATTCTTGAGCTTTGGTGTTTTGAGTGAGTAAAGTGAAGTAAAAAAAAAAGTAATCATTGAATTAATAAAATGCGTTAAAAGTTGCTAATTGTTAGCGATTTGTTATCAGTTTGATAATTAACTTATTTCAATTTCTGTTGATCAGGGTGATTAACATTAAGATGATTTAAATTAAATTGTCATTAGGAAGTGTGAGAAGAAGCTGAAAAATGAGATAAATTGAAATCAGGGTAACAGCAATTAAGAAATTGGGAAGAGAGGAAAAAAAAACGATTCTGACAAAAATGTTCTGGCAAAGATAAAGATGCTGATGATGAGGATGATAATGATTAAGATGATGGAGATGATGATGATGATGATCAATTGCAAGTTGTCAAAGACAATTTTGATTCGGTATTTTATCGTCATTATATTTGACAGGAGATCATAAATCACATAGGAAAATGTTTACTATCAACAAGAACATGAAGAAAAGGCAAAAAACAGGTTACATTTTAAGTGAAAAAATAATCACATTTTACTTGTGAAAGTCACTCAAAGTCACTTTTTTCATCATCCTCATCATCTTCATCATCATCGATATCATCATTATCATTATCATCCTCATCATCTCAATCTCTCTCTCTCTCTCTCTCATTTTCTTTGCTTTGTTTTCACTTCTCGCATCTTTTTTTTTATATTTTTTTCATTTCGCGCTAAAAATTAGGTTAATATGTTACAATTTATTCATTGCGCTTAATTGTAATTTAATTATAATGAAATAATAATCAACTTAAAGAGCAATTTAAATTGGATTAAAATGATCAGTTTGTTTTTACTTTTTTATTAGTTTGGAAAAGTAATCATTTTTTTCCAGTTAATTGTTGCTTTTTAAGCTCAAATTTTATTACTTTTTTATTAGTTTATGTTCATTGATTAAAGTGAATAAAATTCAGATATTAATAATCAAACTGATTCAACTGAATTAATTATTATCACTAAATTTCAGTCAATTTTTTAAGTACCTTTTTTTTTTGCCTCCGCACAGGTAATCAAGAAAAATTTTTCAACGACTGAAGGTTGATCATTATTAAGCTTTCCTTTTAGATATATAATCATGATGAATAATCGTTATTACCATGATTAGTTTTCATAATTTATGATAATTTTAATTGATTGATTATCAATTGTAATTAGCATTTTTCTTTTCATTCAGTTTCTCTGGTTGTGATTTTTTTTCTTCTTCTTTTTTCTTCAGTTGTTTGTTATTTTCCAATATTACGTTTATCATCCGATGGATTTTTTTTCTTTCGGTTTTGGTAAAATATTTACACAACTCAAACTGACGCTTTTGTGCTAATGTGTTTATATTAGATTATTATTGCTTCTATTAGACTGTGAAACGATAATCGGCATCATCATCATCATCGGCAGTTAAGGAATGAGCAAAGTTATAAGGAGTTGAGTTGTTGCTTTTCTCTAGACAGATAAATGGCCTGTAAAATAAGAGGAAAGGAGAGAGAGAGAGAGAGAGAGAGAGAGAGAGAGAGAGAGAGGCCCAAGGGCGCTTGATTGATGTCCAAAGCAATATCTCGATGGTCCATGTAAGGTCTCGCTCTTTTTGTGTGTATAAGTGTATGTTGAGCTGTTTTGTTAGAGATAAAACAGCAAAGTAAAAATAAGCAACCGCAAATTATGTTTTGAGGCCCATGTTTGAAACCATCAATTATCATCAATAGCTCTCCACCTCCGACCTTTTTGTTATGCTTTTGATTCCTCTATTTTTTTCCTTTGATTTGCTTGTTGCTTGCTGATTTATCAATGGATGAGCATGATGATGATGAGAAAGAAACAACGAAATGATGTGATCCACAGGAAGCAAACAATTGTAGGCAAAGACCAAAGATGAAATTGATCAAAATTCTGCCTTTCTCCTACATCCATACTTGTCTTCTTCCCTGATGAGATGATATCTTTAGTGGGTTTTGTTTTACATCTAAATGGTATGTGTTGTAAAGGTGACAAACGATAAATATCCGTATGTATCTGGGTTGTTTGTCCGATGTGAAAAGAGAAGAAAAAAAAACTTCAACGGGAGCTAAAGGGCCGATAAATTTCATCCGTACCAGAGTAGAAAAGTACCTTTATTAAGGATAACTTTAAGGTTTTCATCTTCTCTTATCATCCTTCAAACTGCTTTGTTAAATTTTCTCTCCTGCCTCCATTTCTCTCTCTCTCTCTCCAGTTTCTTGTAATGATGATGATGAGGATGATAATATTGATGATTATCACTGTGAAAACGGAAAAGAAAAGAAATTTAACTTTAACTGTTATCAGGTTAGATGTCTAAACGACTCTGTGGTAAGGTCAATGTAAACACCTCATGTGGTGTCAATGGTGCTTTTAATCACCAAGACTCCCTGGGCCTACAAGGAGAATGATAAAGTACCACAGCTCAACTATTAGGTTATGACCATTGTTATGATACCAAAACAAGAAAAACCATTGAAAGCTACAAAAATAGAAGAAGGAGAAGGAGAAAGATGATGATGAAGATAAAAAAAGAGAAGAGAAAAAAAAATAAGTAGGGAGAAAAAAACATAATAAAGAAAAAATGATTTGTGATGATTCTTTATATTCTCATCTCTTACCTTGATTTACATGTTTAGCCTTCTCCATAACAATCAAACACCATTTTCCATATGACAATTTGACGCCTTCTCCAAAACGATCAATAACATTTAACCCAGCAAATAAGAATAGACCAGCAAAGGTAAACCAAGAAAAGGTAAATCATTCTTAGTAAATTGTTGGAGACATGGAAAAGAAAACAATTTAACAATCAAAATAAATTAACAGATTAAAACTGAAACCACAAAAATTTGAAATTTTTTTTTTCTTCTATCACACTGACATCTAGTGTCTTCTTTAGTCATAACTTGATTTCGATTCTTTTTTTTTGATTTTGTTGAATTTTTTTTCAATCGAAATTTAATCAACTCTTCAAAATGGATTAACTGGTTTTCCATCGTAATTCACTGATCAAATAGTTAATTGTTACGAGTTACAAGTTGAAGAAATTTAATAATAACAGTTAACATTTTATATGGCAATCAAATTGTGTTTACTTTTGATCAAGTTAAATACCAACAACAACAATTTACTTTTTACAACAAGTTAAATCAAATACGAAAAGTTTGAGTAAATAATAAGACTAATTGTTACAATAAACAACGTTAAATTAACGATAATAATAACAATTAAATTTTCCTATTTTTCGGCTTCTCAAAATCAAATTAATAAAGTAACTAATATAATAAAATTAAGGGTAAATAACAATTAACTCAAGTATAATATTGATAATATATATAAAAAAAAACTACTGATTAAAGTGTTGATAAACTAATTTGTTGATTGTCACCTAATAATAATTAATCAATGATTATTAAGAATCATATAACAATTAATATTATCAATATTGATGTAAATACAATTAGTTTTTTTTTGGTTTGTTTGACTGTAATGACAATTACAACTCAATGATTAGCGGTTGATTATTTACAATTATTAAGCGATTTGTTTAGTTTAATCAATGGATTAAAATTAATTTAGTGAACGATATTATTGATTATCATGATAATGATAATGATAATCAATAATTTTGATGAAGGAAAAGTAATAATAGTTAATAGTAAATTGATGATCATCAAGAAAGTGATTAGAAAGATGATAAATGAAGTGACTTGTGATCTCAATTTATCTTCTCACTTCAGAATTGTTCATTTTATCATTATCATGAAGATGATGATGATAATTTCATGATATTTATTATTTATCATCATCAAAAGAAAAGAGAGTAAAGAAAGAAAGAAAGAAAGAGAGAGAGAAAAATTCATCAACTTATCATGAATTTCATGATAATATAAATGAAATTAATATCATATTGAACTTAAATCGTTAACAACATTTATCTTAAATTATTGGGAACAATTAATCAAACGATATGACAAATTGATTTTGATTATTTAACAATTTTCAAGTTAATTAATTTAATTAACTTCCTATTTGAAGTTTTAATGTTTTTCCTTGATATTTTAATTAATCTTTAATTGTTATCATCATCATCATCATCATCTAATTAACATTTGGAATAACAATAAGTTTAAAGTAATAGAAACAAATTGTTTGCAAGTAATTAACGTTGAAGGAATTAATTACAACTAAGTGATAGAAATCAAGTTAATTATAACTTGGAAAAGTTGATGATGACAGAGAGAAAGTGAGAGAGAATTAAATTGATTGCAAAGTTACATAATTTAATCGTTTCTACCTCATCATCATCATCATCATCTAATAATACACTTGTAATAACAGTAAAGGACAATGTTAACCACTATCATCACCCACAATTCATCCTCATCCTCATCTCTTTTTTCATCTTCATCTATTCATCATCTTCCTCATCCTCATCATCAACTTGATCCTTTATTTTTTGCTTTTATGTACATTTTAGATGCCAAGTATTTGGTAAGCAATTAATCTTAACTCAGCATCTTTCAAAGGGATGATGAGGATGAGAGAGAGAGAGAGAGAGAGAGAGAGAGAGAGAGAGAGAGAGAGAGAGATTATAAATCATGTCAAGTCGTCCATCATCCTTTTTAACAAAAGATCATTTCTCTTTCTCTTTTCTCTTCATCCATCTTTTTTTCATTCTCCTTTTACTTCTCATCATCAACATCATCATCAACATCATCATCATCCTTCATCATTTTCTTTTCTTCATTCCGAGTCATTAAATTCCATCGGAAACACTGGTAAACCTTCATCATCATCTTCTTCTGTATATCATCATTTTCATCATCATCAACATTTCCATCTTCATCTTTATCTCCATCTTCTTTTTCATAACAGTAATAATTTCACCACGTTAGATAAACTGATGACTTTTCGCATCCTCATTGGAAGACATGAAGATGTGACAAACAATAAACGCCTTTTTCTTTTCTCCTCATCTTCATCTTCATCATTTTCTTCATCATTTATCGTTTGTTAAATTTGGCGCTTTTCGTTTTTCTCATTAACATTCAATCAACTCATTCTCTTTGTCTCTTAATTGTTTATTTGTCTTCTCATTGTTAATTCTTGTATAAAGTTAATTGTCACATACATTTAATTATATAGATTTTCTTTCTCGTTTTTCCAGGCTAATTCATTAATAGAATCTCATTGTTTTTATTTTATTTCTGTGTAATTAGTTAAAATCTGTTTACTTGGGTTTACCCTTTTTACCACAAGAAAACATCTAATTGTTGCTATTTGTTTATTGAGCCTTTTCTATGTTTTCTAATACCTTTATGTAGTTAACTTTTATTTTCTTGCTTAATTTAGTAAATTAAATTACTACAAGATATGTGTCATGTTTATCTCCTATCATCCCATCCTTGATCTTCCTCTTTTCTGTTTTTGGCTTATCTTTACCTTCATCTCAGGCCTAAGCTTTTTCCCTCTTTTTTTGTCTCTTATGCGTATTTACATTACCTTGTAATACTTTTCTAATCATCTTTCTATAATATTTTTATTTCAGATTGTCAACTCTTTCTTTTCCCAATACAATGTACTATATTACTCTGGTTCCATGTCCCCCCTGTGAGTTTTGGTGCATTTGGTGTATAAATATAATTTTATCTTACTCAATGGTAACAGTAAACAACATGATCTATTTTTCCCCTTTATCAACAATGTTGATGATCTTTTCTTTTTCCCTTCTCTCTTAGCCCCAATGGACGATTGAATGGAAAACTACGATCTGAAAAATCAGCTCTGATGCCGATATGAGCTCCATCAATCAATCACCTGACTGACAATCCATGACAATTCCAGGACAATAGGAATTGCTAAGATTTTCATGTAGCTTTTTTCTTTCCCTTAGTCTTAACTTTATACACTCTTTATCTTCATCTTCTCTCTCTTTCTCTTTCTCTCTTTATCTTCTTCTCTCTTGTACAGTTCATCGATCCAGAACCATCATCAATTGACGGACTCCAAGTATATTGAAGATTGAAATCATTTAACCAATCCATGCCTGTGATTATTTCACCTAACATAACGATCTACAAAGTAAGCTGGGAGTTATCGCTCTCTATATATAAACACAATCAAATGATTTGGTCAACTCGATTATACTTTGATTTACTTACTTATCTATTTTTTTTACTCTCTTACTTTTCCAGCCTATTCTTGGAAATGGTTTAACAGACATTAGCTTACATCCTTACAATTGAGTTGATTTATTTCATTTGATAGATTAATAAACTGTCAACAACAAGCCAATGTTATCAACTGACAATATGTTATCAATCAAAGTCAATCTATTTAACCTTACGATGGAACCTCTATCATCATTATCCAATCAAAATGTTGAAAATTATCAATCTATTCGTTATTATCCTCTCTCTCTCTCTCTCTCTCTCTCTCTCTCTCTCTCTCTCTCTCTCTCTCTCTCTCTCTCTCTATTCTGACCTAATCATTTTCTTTGCTGTTAATATATTAATTTTTCTCTTACAATATTAGCTTGTTGGTTGAAGTTTAATTGCAATATAATTACAGTCTAATGAACCTTCAATTTTTTTTCTCCTCTTCTCTTCACAGATTTCAATTTGCAATCAAATTGCTTGTTGATTGTTGTGACGGAAAACAAAGTCAACAGTTGTACTCACAGAATTCAAACTATTCTGGTAAGTTAATCGTAAGAAAAATAAGAAAAATTTTTCTCATTCATTCCTAAATCATATATACGATATATTGTTTCACTCTTGATTGATTCTTGTTTTTGTTTTATTTTCTATTTCTTTTTATTTTGTTTTGACAGAAATTTAAAGAATCTTGATCACATTAAATCCACTTTTTGGTGATAAATTGTTTGGAGTTTATCCATTAAAAAAAACGTTAATTGATTTCATTAATTACTTTGGATGCGAGAGTTAAATACCAATAAGTTACTGACCCATTAAGATTTGGATGCTCTCTCTCTCCCTTTTCTGATTGATTATCATTACTTTAATCATCGCCTACACTAAGTCATGATACACTTTTAGATGATCAATAATCATTTGATGATAAAAATGAATTAACTCAATTAGCAAACAGTAAGTATTTCACTGATTTGGACTTGATTAACTTGCTAGGATTAACATTTACACAAGAGGAAAATCCAATTGTACTAAGTGCTAATTGTAGCAATTATCATAACCGGACACACATTAAATCCTACATGAGATAATCTAACAATTTGCTAACCATTACATTATTATTGTTATTATGATCTCACAAAAAAAAGAAACCTAATCATCTGAATTTATTTAGGTTAATGATGATAATCAATTTGTCACTTCTATCTCTTGATTTCAGATTCAACTTGACGATAATATTCATTAACTAATCTCGCTGATAACTGAGGAAAATGTTATAACAAAATGCCGAAGATATAATAACAATGTTATCAATACAAATGACCAACGATGACCTGATGAAACAATGGACCAGCAAAGGAAAATTAAATCCAACGAAAGGATAAACTTGTTATTTGATTAATCGAGATGACAAAGATGATTAGATTGTCGTAACAACTTATCATTCAGTAAGATTATCCATTGATACTTTTATACCTCAATCTTTAAATGAGATACTTGAATCTATTCTACATAATCTTAAATAGAATACGAGTATTATTTTCTTCTTATATTTAAATCGATTGATTAATTCCTTTTAAATACTCTATTCTTACTCCATTATGAGCTTTATAATATATTGTATCAATCCTTTTGGATTTGAGTTACTTATCTTTGATTGTTATGATAACTATGGTTTTTACTTTCTTTCCCTCTATCATTATTTGTAGTTATTGTTATCATCATTGGTACACGTCAATGTCACTCTTGAGTCTCTATCATCATAATCATGAGCAATAACAAAACAAGAACAAGAAAGAAAAATGTAGAAGCAAATCCTAGGATAATCCAGTTGAGCTTAAGCCGATAAACGGAATTAGTTGACGAGAAACAATCAACTTCAAAGAAGATGAAAAAAAAACTGAAAGAAATTATCATCCATAAGCGTTTATCAACAATCAACGAAACTTCAATTCCTCCTCCATTGTGTATATTTAAAGGTTGACGGTTTGATTGGCAAAAGATTGTTTTTCCGAGTGTAATGTTGTGACAATACAAAACATCCTCATCCTCCTTTTCATCATACCTTCTCCTCTTACATCTCTCTCTCTCTCTCTCTCTCTCCCTCCCTCTTTCTGTCTCATCATGTCTCTTGTTCGTGCTGTGAAATTCATTGTACTTTATGACGGAAATTACCTGGTTACTTTATCCTCGCACACACACAGACAGAGTTTTGTTGAACGTTTAAGATAACATGAGTTTTAAGCTTCTTAAGCCACTAGGAAGTAAAGAAGAAAAAGACAAGAGTAGATGATAATGATGAAGATGATGATAAACAGACAGATTAAAACACTTCTAAAAACTAGGGATTAGATTGACAACTCTACAGTAATAAGGTACAGTTAGTGGAAGAAAAAAAAAGATTGTGGTGTAGTGTTAATTTAGTGAAACCTAATAATCAAGTTTACCTTATAATCCGTTTTCTTTTCTAAGAGTTTACTTGTCATTCAAAGTGTTTTATCTTGAGACGCCTACTGATGTCTTATCCTCTCTCTCTCTCTCTCTCTCTCTCTCTCTCTCTCTCTCTCTCTCTCTCTCTCTCTCTCTCTCTCTCTCTCTCTCTCCTTTGTAAGTTTGACACTAGACAGAAAAGACAATCCGAAAAAGACAAGAGTTATCAGTTCCACAGGAGAGATTGTTACAAGAGATTTGTGATTCTCTTGATTCAAGGATGAGGATGGATTAGAAGTGAATTTGAAACAAGAATCAAGATAAAGACACCAATCTAAGTTACAAAGAAAATCCATCATGTTTTCATCTTACCTTTTCCATGTTTGAGAGAAGAAGAAAATGTCAACAATACACAAAATAATTAAGGTTAATTAAGTTTAGATTCATTATGATTCTTTCATGATATTGTTCATTTCATGTTCACCTATGTTATTATCATTGTTGTTGTTGTTGTTGATTCCATCATGATGATAATCGTTACTTTAATTTATTCTTGTTTCTTCCTGATAATTGACCTTGACTACTTTTCATGATTAGATTGATTTTGTTTTACTTTCTCTTGATCGTTTTTGTAAATATTGATGCTAATCATCATCATTAAGTTATTTTCAATTATGATTGATTATCCAAACATAATTTCTTGTGATTAGTTATCTTCCTTTAATCATCAACTATTATAATTCAGATTTACTCTCATTCTCTCTATACACCAGTTCGAAATCTTGTAATCTAAATGATGGATCGATTTAATTGTTCCAATGATTTAACATGATTAGGATAACTTTCTCTCTCTCTCTCACTCACTCTCATAAATTATTCTCTATGATGGATTATTGTTCTAATTCTAATTTAGTTGATGTTTATTATTGTTGTCTAATTTGTCCCACTCAGATTTTTCCTTTCATCTCCTAATCCGTCTTTCCTTAATCCAATGATTAGTAAATTATGGCTTAAAATTGATTCAATTTTTGGATTGTATTACAATTTGAATTGAATTACCATTTGATAATCTATTTTATTTATAACAGTTAAATGTCGTTGGGTAAAAATGTTTCACAATGAACATGACAAGAATGATGAATGATGTTTACACATGAAGATGAAAATTTGATGCTAATGATGACGAAAAGATGATGATAAACAAAGTGTTAAATACCTTTAAGAATCATAAAGAGGGATGAGAGAGAAATCGTGAAAAAAAGTGTCGCTTAAATGAGTCGATCATTTAAAAAGATAACAGGTAATAATTGTAAAAGAAAAAGAAATTGATGATGTTGTGATGATGGCGAAATGTTGACCACATCCATCTTAATTTCTCTCTCTCTTTCTCTTTTGACCAGTTCTCTTGTTTTCTTCTCTTGTCAAACTAACTTATCATCTTTTTCTCTTCATCATCATCATCTTAACTTCTATACACATTGAACAACAATGATGTTCACACCAGGAAAGTGATAGATTCATTGTTTTTTCCAGGTAACCCTTAGCTTTCTGATGATCCATTTTAACTCATACGTTTACTTTTAAAAAATTGATTGTCATGAGTATGAAAAAGTGGAAGCAAAAACTTGATGGTTTCAGTTGCGAAACTGTTTTCTTGATGATATTGATGATAATGGTGATGGAAGTTGTTGCAGTTTAACAGATTATTGATTGTTGACTGTAGATAGTCTCATCCATCAAGATTAGAATTTGAAATCGATCAATGTCCTCGGTCAAACAGATTCTAATGGTTTGTCTCTCTCATGAGGCGAACTTTTTTTTTCTCTTCATCTTCTTTTCTCTTCTACTTATCTTCTAATTTTCGTTTTCTTTTCTTTTTCTCTCTCTCTCTCTCTTTCTCCTACAGGCATAAGAGAATCTCCATCTCCATCCTCATCTTTATCATCATCTTGATCATCTTCTTCTTTTATATTCAATTGGATGCAAATGATCAACACCATTCGAAACGTTTTTCTCCTTCTTTGTTGATGATCAGCACTCACATTCTGATTGTGTTAATTGTGTTGATTTGGTTTGCTGATATTTTGTAACTTAATTGTTGTTGTAAATCATTTTGGAAAGTGTTTAATGTGCTAAGCTGATTATTTGATTTGTTTTCGTTGATTGATTCTTATTAGATAATAATAATAAGGTGATTTAGAATTGACAATATTAATGATACATTATAATGAATTGTTAAGTTAATGATATATTGAAATCAATTGATTTTCATCATTAGCTAACAATCAATCAAATGTATTTAGTTTTTTTGCCGCTGCTTTGGTATAAAAGTTAATCACAAAATTGAATATCATTCAATTTATTCAATTTATGAAATCTATTAATTCAATTGTAATTTCTGTTAATCTAATGATAATAATAATATAAGATTGTGTTTCTAAAATAATTAAGGGAAATTAAAGTTAATCAGCTTTTAACAATGATTATTATCATTACGATTTTGATTTAATAATAGTTAATTAAATTTCATTTTAAAATCTGATTGATTTGAGGGGGGAAAATGAATCAAATTAAATTTCAACTACTGATTAACCAGGGAAATTAAGATGAAAATTGAAAAGATGATTATAATCATCATCATCATTGAAGATTAATCCTTAATCATCAATTGTCAAGATTATCACTTTCCAAGAGATTAACTATTTTTTTTTCAATCAAAACGATATCAACAAGGATTAATGTCAATCATAATTGTTACCTGGCAGTTAAATCATTTAATTAATAATCAATTGTTTGCCAATGATAATCATCAACTAAATTGTTCAATATTTTAAATCGTACGATTTTTTTTTCAAGGCTTATTAATTGTTAATCTAATTTGTGTCGTTAAATTGATTTGTTATTTGTTGATTTAATTAACTTGTTAAGACAAGGATTTACCAAGTTAATTGAATTAATAGTTACAATTAAAAGCATTTTTCAAGGTAATTAAATTGTTACGGATTGAGAAGCAAAAGTAACAAGTTTAATTGTGAACCGAACGATTAAACGAATGATTAATTTATACAAATTAATTTAAATTGTTAATTGTTTTTCTGGTGTAACTGATTACCTGGTGAATTGAAGGTTAACTGAATTAAGGGTTTTGTTTCAGGTGAAGTTGATAAATATTTATGGAGAGATGAAGATGAAGATTAGGATGAGGATGAAGATGAGGATAAAAATGAAGTGGAAGATGATTAGGATGATGATGATGATGAAAAAATCAGCGGGAAGTTGTCAAAAAACGTGTTAACGTGTCAATATGATGAAAGGAAATAAGGTTGAGCATTTAACATGTTTAATTGTTGTTTATTTTATCAATCAACTTGTGCAATTAAAGCTGTTGATTGTTGATTAGAACCGCAATCAAATAATAACAAAGGTAAATTATCACAGGTAAAAGTTAACTTTACTTAGGACAAAATTTAACCTTCTCATCACTTGTAGTAATTAGTTAAATACAGAATAATAATAATATTAATAGAAATACAAATTGATTGAAATTCAATTTTTTTACGTTAATTTTGATTCATTAATTTTTTCAATTTTCATTCATCATTTTGACAAGAAAATTTTTCCATTTTTTTTTATCGCTCAGAAAATAAAAACATGATAAATGTAATTAACATGATGATATAATGATAGTTAACTGAATAATAATCAAACTGTCAACATAATTGTGTTGAAATTACAATTAAAGTTTGATAGGTAAGTAAACAAAAGGTAAGTACTTTTTAACACCTTAGCACCTTTAAAATGTTCAGGTAACCAAATGAAAGATGAAGGCGTTGGATGATGAAAATAATAATAAGGATGATAATGTTTTCATGATGATGAAAATGATGAGTAAATCAAATAAAAAATGATGAAGGTGATTTATCTGACAAGAAGGATGAACCTGAATCACACCTTGTTACTAAATGTGAAGTGCTGATGATGATGATGATGATGATTGAATAATAACAAATGAGAAAAGTAAAACATGTTATAATCATTTTCATGGTAAATCAATTTACTCATTTGTTAAAGGTAAAATTAATGAGTAAATTAAAAAAATTCAAGGAAATTGATGAAGATGAAGTATGAATGATAAATTTATTATCATCTTAACTGCATCATATTAACCATGTTCATCTTGAACATCATTATCTTCATCATCATCATCATCATCATCATCTTATTAGCTAATTTTTAATCTAATTGACTGAATAACCATTCAATTTTTATGAAAAGGATGAAGATGATGATAAAATGATGACCACCCACTGGTCGAAAGCATCTTCAGTATCCTTCATCGTTAGATAATCAATTGATCATCATCATCATCATCATCATCTCGGTGTGATTTATCATCATGTAAATATGACTTGTGAACTTTTCATTTCACTTTTAACTAATCAACTATTAAATTTATAGTCTCAAGTTTTCAGGTAAAATCAACAGATTATAAATTGTGATGAAGATTAAATAATCATCAACCATTGACCATTACCATTGGATGATGATAAATGTAATTTAACTTTTCTCGTTTTAATCAAATTAAAAGGTTAACTAATAATAATGAAAAATTTGCTAACAATTTACTTGGTAATTGAAGATATTAACACTGCGTGATTAAAGTAATGATCATCATGCTACCAACATGATGCTAGTAAATAAATAATCTGACAAGTGACATTTTGCTTCTGTATAATAAAGATAAGCAAGATGATGATGATGATGATGATGATAATGATAATGATAGTGATGATATTGCATGATCAGAGAAGATAAAAAAGATGAAATTGAAAAAAAAGTATCGAAAGTCATCCTTGATGTTTTTCTCAGGTTAAAGGTCATTGGTTATTTAATGTCACAGTGAAGATGATAATGATGATAATAATGATGAAGATAATGATAATGATGATAAAGCATATGTTGATGACAAGTAAGATACATAGAGAGAGAGAGAGAGAGAGAGAGAGAGAGAGAGAGAGATTAATGGAGGCAAGATGTCAAAAAAGGAGGAGGAAGATTGAAAAAAAGATGAAGATGAAATGGAGACAAAAAAGTGCAGTAAATGATGATGATGATAATGATGATAATATATAAACACAGTTTGCATCAATGGATAATAGTTATCTTCATCATCTCCATCATCTTTATCATTCCCTTGTTATTGTTATCAATTTATTTTCCTTTTCATTTCCTTTTCCACTTTTCTATTGCTTCTGTTATCCAGTGTACTTTTTTTAATGATATTATCCATCAACTTGATCCAATTTATATGTAATAACTTATTCTCTTGTTATTAATATACTTGATACCCACAAATCAATTGAATTTCCTCTTATTATACATTTATTGTTATAAATACCAAGATGATATTCGAGGCTTTATTGTTTGGTAACTGTTATTGTGGTTACAGGGTGACAATTCAATTTTAATCACCAACCATTATTTAAAACGGTGACTTTTCCCGCGTCATTGTTATCAATTAGATCAGTTTTCCTTTCAATTTGATTCAGTTTTCTAAATCACATTATTAAATATAATCATTAAGGAGTTTTGCCACAATGAGTGTCTCAATAGAATAGCTAATTACCGTAAATTGGAAACAAGCCTGACTACTTTTGACGATGAAACATCAATTCTTGAATCAGAAGTAGAACAATTAACTGATTTTCTCAATGAACTTTGTCCTGCCCTGGGTGATGTACAAACACTGGAAAGTGATGTTGAACAATGTAACAAAGCTTTGGACGATATTAAAATAACATTAGAAAGCAATTGTGCACTAATTATATTGAAAAGTGAACAGTTGATTGCTGAATTTGATGAATTCGATGATGATAACAATGATGATAAACTTCTTAAAATGGTTGCTGAATTGATTGCCAAAGAGTCGAGCGAAATTGATAAATTACAGAAACGTTAATCTACCAATCATCATCATCATAAAAATGAATAAATAAAATAATTAAGTGAATACTTACCATCAAAGATGCCCTAATTTGGCGAGATAAACTAAAAACTTCAGCATCCTTTTGGACTGACAATATAAGCCGATTGGTCATTTCAATGGAAAAACGAAACAAAACGAATAAAACAGATTCCAAACGAATATGGAAGAATACAAAAAAAAGAGTAACAATCTAATCTAGAATGTCGCGAACTTAAAGTGACCTTATCAATAAAATGTGTAACAAAAAATGTCAATCAGACTGCGACCGATCAATACTGACCTTGATCGCAGTCTGATATTTATGATTGTTATTATCAACTATCGTGATAACATGCAAGATAATGAAATGATGATAATGATATTTTAAATATTAATTGAAACTATTGATTTACGATTATTAGAAAGTTCTAGAAGGTGATCAAGATCTTCTGATCATGATCACCTTCGTCACCTATTGTATTAATGTAATACATTGTATCAATAAAAACACACTCTCCCTGAACAGTTAAAGAAAAAAGGATTAAAGTTTTAATATTCATTCAACATTTTTGAAATTATTGCTTTCAATTGGCGAGGTTACCAGGATAGTGAATTATCCTAGTATTATTGATAGCTCAATAAGTTTCCTGTGAATTTGATTCGAAATGGAAATGGAATTCGGTAAGTTATCGACAACACTCCTCTAACAGCTTACAGAGCAAGTTGGGAGTGAAGTCGAATCATTTTATTCGTTTATTTCTCCTCTGCATGTTTTTACTTTAATTTCCTTTCTAATTGTTAATTTTCAAACCTGAATAACTCAGATCCCCAATCTTATTGTCCAAAAGGATTAACCAAGAACCAAAAGAGAAAGTTCAATTATAAATCATATCGAAATGATAAGAATAGAAGCCAACAAGCATTGAAGCATTTAAGACAATTAGAAAAGCGGATAAGAGAGGTTTTTCTATCGGCAGTAAAAACAAGAAATCTTCACGAAAAAGAGAAAGGCAATTCATCAAGATTAGAACAATCTCAATCATTATTCGCAGAGGCAGATAAACGAGCTGCAATTTTCCTCAGGGCATCTAACAAATATCAACAACAACATCATAAACGGCCATTCCCTGTTATACAAAATAAATCACCAAGAGAAATTGCTGAGTACATAACTTATTCAATCAACTCTCTTTACCTTTCGGACCCAATTAAACCTGAATTAAACAAAGCAACAATTAATCATTCGCAACCACATCCGTTTAAGGTAATTAAAGGTACACGATTGGAAAAACTAAAATTAAAATAAATTGTAACAAATGAATAAAAATGATCAGAGTGATAAAAAACCCTGTATTCAAATAAGTTGGAAAAATTGTACACCCAAAAGAATTACTATTGAGCTAATCGATAAACCAAAAGAAGATACTAATAACTTAAATTGTTTTGAATCCATTATTCCTGAATTCGAAGAAGCTATCCTTGACTTACATTAAGCATAAAATGGAAGGTGATAAAGTGGAAATCAAAGAGACAAAAGGTAAGAAAACAACTGGTTCAATAGTTGCTTCAATACCCGTTGCCAATTTGAATAATATCAACGCGTTGAGCTACGATTACGGTGAAGATTTAGTTGATTGGTTTGAAAATTATGAATTTGAATCAGATGCTGCCGGCTGGGATGATGAGACTAAATTAACACGATTACCAATGTATTTGCAAGGAACAGCAAGAAGTTGGTATGCTTGTTATGCATCTCCTAGTGTGAAATCGAGACCAAAAGATTATCTTACATTAAAGAAGATGATGGTTAGAGATTTATGCAGATCAGATTATCGAACTATGTTAGAACAGAAGATATTTGATTATCGTCAAGAGGCTGATCAACCCGTTGCAAATTATATTCTCAAAATGAAAGATTTATGTAGAAGATATGAATCTGAGATGAATGAGAAGAAAAATATAAGAATTGCGATAAGGGGAATGTGGCCAGCGATATCACAACATTTAGACCAATTCGAAATGGAAACAGTTTCAGATTTACTAAGACGAGCTAATGTGGCTGAAAATACATATAAACGAAATCAGATTGTAAGTAATGAAAGGCAACAATTGGGGTGGCAACAAGGATTTAATGATTTAAAGAAACAAGTTGAGTTAATTGGTGATAAATTATCTTCGGTAGTTAACTTATTGCCAAAAGGTACATCAAACTCATCGGATCGAAAAAGTATAATTTGTCATTATTGCAATAAACCTGGTCATAAAAAATACCAATGTTTATCCAGAAAAGAGATGAAGAAAAGAAGAGAAAAGAAAATGAAACAAATTACCCTTCAACGTCTGGTTATAAAAATCCTAATAATAACTGGTCACGACCCAAGGTTGTCTCGATGGTTCTGAGAAATTCTGTCCTTCAAAACTTATTCAATTCAATCGATGATAATAATCTAATTTTTATGAAGGTTAAAATTAATGATATCGATTTTTCTGCTCTAGTTGATACTGGGTCTGACGTGACTATAATAACAAGAGAAATAGTTAATCGACTTCATGTCTCGATTGAATCATATCAAGGTCCAAGGACAGACACAGCGAGTAATTTGCCATTAAAACCATCAGGACAAATTACATTAACTTTCACTCTTATCGATTCACATTCAGAGATAATTAAAATCCAATCAACTGTAATGGTTGTCGATTATTTACCTGCAGGAATAGAAATTCTAATAGGACAAGACATAGCGAGAATTGCTTCGCTTGAAATAAATTGTTCCAATAAAACTGTAGTAATTTCTAGAGAGACAAATAATGGTGATGATTCATCATCAGATGAATCACTGCCTGACATTTGGGACTCGGAAAGTGATGAAGAGGGACAACTGACTA